GCGGTGAACCAGCTGGTGGCCTTGGCGGTGCAGGCCAGAAACACTGTCGCCACGATCGCGGAGGCAGCCAACCAGGCGGCCTCGTCCTCGTCGGGCAGCGGGTTGAGCGACCAAGGCGGCAGCGGCAGCGCGTCCACTCCGACCACTGCGGCGAAAGAGAGGCAGGAGGACGCGTCCGCCCACCCCTGGGAGACCTTCTGGGGCGATCCTGTGCTGGCGGCCGAGGGTGCCAGCGCTGCGCCGCCGCGTCAGGTGGCGGCGCTGTCTCCGAGGGGCTTGGGAATTGACCGCGTTCCTCGGGCTTCCAGGGCAGCAGGGTCTCGATGGCCTAAGCTTTCATGTCGCATCCGCAGTTCCTTTCTCCAGCCCGCAGAGCGCGACTCTCGCCGCCGAATCTGGGCACGAGACTCGCCGGGGCCCCGGCTTCAAGCATCCCCCGCGCGTGGCTGGACGGGGCCGTGCAAAGTTTAAACGGCGACCTCGAAGTGGCCTGGGCCAAGCTAGGGGGCGCGAAAGGCCCTGGAGCGAGGTGCAGCTCTGGATGGGGTCCGCGGGGAATCTCGCGGGGGCTGCCACTGATCGGCCGCCCGGGAGAGCCCGGGCCGCGTTTGTGGAGGTCTTCTCGCCACCTAGGATAGCGCTTGAAGTAAGAAGGCTGGGGGCTACGATCGGAGATCGACCGGGTCTGGGTCGCCGTCCGGGATGGGATTCGCCCGATCCGACTCGCGCCCGCGAGATGTCGCATCACGTCCGCCAGGGGGGGGCCCGAGATGATTTGGCTCAGCCCCGAATGGCGAGTCGGGTCTGGCTTCGGCGGGGGCTTCATCGGGATTGCTCTCGCGCTGGACGTCGCCGCGACGAAATTTGGGCGCCCGAGTTATCTGGGGCAACCGGGGTAACGCGGGCTTGGATTCCCGAAAAACGAACCCGAGTTAGCCCTGACCCGAGTTAATTACCCCTGATGAATTAGGGCTCTGGACGCCCGGGCTATCTGGGGCAACTTTGGCCCGGGGTAACTCGGGTTCGGAATCCCGAAATGCGAGCCCGAGTTAGCCCTGGCCCGAGTTACCCCTGATGATTCGGGGCTCTGCGAAATGGAAGTAGCTTGCGCCCCGGGCGCCGGAACCGCCGCGCCCTCGGTCATGCTCGGAAGCCGCTCCGCCCTGGACGGCATGCGTTCACAACGCAGCATCGATATGGGGATAGGGCTCATTCGGTCTCGATTGGACTCGATCGGTTTCGACCTTCTCGATCGGCGTCGATCGGTCGCGATCGGTCTCGGCCAAACTTGGTCGCTGTCGATCGGTCTCGGCCAGCGCCCGTCAGTCTCGAACTTGCGCCATTGCTTCCGAGAAAGATCGAGACCGACCGAAGCGACCTGGACCGACCGAGGCCAGTCGAGGCAGACTGAAACCAATCGAGACCGACCGAAACCCATCGAGACCGACCCAGACTGATCGAGACCGATTGAGACCGATCGAGACCAACTGATATCGACCGAGACCGATCACGCGAAAGCCTGAATGGCAGGCCTCGTCTTGGGCCTCGTCCTCCTCCTGGCGCCCAGCGCTAGTGGATCCGCCTCGGACAGTGGCATCTGCTGAACAGCCGCTGCCGCGACCCAGAGGCTCCCCAGACGGCGCCGACCGCAAGGAACAGCCAAAATGTCAGATTTGGCCAGGGAAAAATCAAGGCGCCTGTGGTTGGGGCTTCCTGCGCGATGCAGAATCACCAAGTGGGGTGCCGGACCTGATGCCAACTCCTGCGTTGGGAGAACTGCAACAGCCGGGTTGTGCGCACCCGACGGCCTTGGCAGGCCGCGCGCTTGCTATCCTCGCGATGATTCCATGTCGTGCTGGTAGATCTGGCCGTCAACAGGTCCGGCGCCCCCCTCGACCTGATCCTCGTACAGGTCGAGGTCGTCGAGCTAGGCCATGAGCGCCGCCTCAGCGGCCTCCTGGCCCTCATCATTGTCGCCGTAGGAATCGTCGCCGCTGTCATCGTCGGACTCGTCACCGTCACCCGACCGAACCTGAAGATAGGAAGAGAGGGAGGAGGAGACTGAAGCTGATCTTCGCAACCAGGGCCCACGCCCTCGCGGTCGACGAAAGCTAGTATGGAACCAATGGCGGACTTGACGGGTAGCAAACTGTCAAAACTGGTCGAATCCATCTGCCTCCGGGCCCTGGCGACACTCTGGTAGTCAAGTTTCCCTTGCGTCAGGGTCCTGAGGTTCTGCATACACTGGGAAGTTAGGCCTGACACTTCCTCTAAGAGCAGCCCCTTGAACTTGGGGGACAGCCACATGTGATTGCCCTCCGCTGCCACGAACTGCGGCTCACGACGACTCACGTACTGGACGAAGGTCTCCTTCTGCTCGCGAATTGCCTCGAACAGTGCCTTCTGGCCTGTCTGTCGTAGGTCACTTCCCCCTCGTTATCCGATCATCATGTCCACGCGCCCGAATACAGCCTCGAGCCCTGTACTGCTCGTGACGCTCAACCGGGAACGTCATCAAACTTTGCTCGCATGTTCCCGAATAGCGTTAGATATTTTTCAAGGCGGCGCCAGGCCGGGTTCTTCTCCCATCCACGGAGAGCACAGCGCCATTGTCGATAGAACCTCCAGCCTGGGCATGCTGGAGGATCAAAAAAATCTCTTCGACCGCTTGATGACCAAGCACCCGTTTTCCAATCGTCCTGGCCCCAGCCGCTCGTACTCCAACCCGGGCCAGTGCCAGGCTCAAACCAGTCGTCCTTGTACCATTCGTCGTTGTCGTTGTTGTCTTCGTCGTCGTGGCCGTCCTTGTCCTTCGCCGCTCGTGCTGCTGCCTCGGGCACTGAAGAGTCTGACTGTTTCTTCGCGCAGGGATCGAACTCGGCCTTCGTCCAAGGATCGGCACGCTGTGTACTGCCCGCAGCTATCGACGCTCCCAGCTGCCGTGGCGAGGCCACTGGACATGCGCCACTGGAGAGCTCAGACAATCTGGTCACTGAGTGAAAAGAATGTGTGCAAGCATGTTTTAAACATGCCGCTGAAATTTGTGAATAATGCTGTAACACGGTGAAAACATGATTCGCACATGCTTTGAACGTCTGGGAACTATTTAGCAACATGCCTCCTCTCCATTGATCGTCTTCCACAACCCTGTGACCACTGCCACCACAAACGCTTTGTCGCTCTTGTTGTCGTCACCCATGCCGTGGAACCGCGCCAGTCAGACCCAGAACGAGGTCTTCGCCGAGGGCTCTAGAGAACTCTGCGCCAGTCGCCAACCAAGCGCCGGCTCATGCCCGCATTGGCCTGTCAGCGGGGGTCCACGCTCCGCTACCAACTGTGGCGGCAGCAATCACCCATGATGTGTTTGGGATTTGAGCCCGAAACAACAACGGAGTGCACATCCATAAGCTAATCCACACGCCGACGCTCGCACCGACGCCGACGCCGCCGCCGCAGACAACGGGCGCGACCGACGAACAACATCCGACCGACAGACCACCAAAGGTCTCCAGGGGTGCAAAGGTTTCCGGAGGCTTCCGCTCAGGAGGCCCAACAAGCAAAGAGGAACCAACAACGTCCAAAGACCTCGGCCCTCGACAGGCCCTGATCAAACAAAAAACAAACAAAACGACGACGACTGGACAACGACCGACTGACCGCTTTTCCTTCAACAGCATCCGAGCTAGCGACACCGTACTCTTACTGGAAGATGCCTGCAACAGCGACGAAAACGGCAATGGCGGCGGCGACGACGACAACAACAACAACGACAACGACGACGACGACGACGACGGCGACGACAACGACGACGACAACGACGACAACGACGACGGCGGCGGCGGCGGCGGCCGCGCCAGCGCCAGCGCCGGCGCCAGCGGCGGCGGCGACGGCGACGGCGGCGACGGCCAAACAGGATGTCCCACAGGCCAAAAATCGCCCAAACAGGAAGTTCGACGATCGAGCGATCCTCGAGCGATCATGGCCGACGCCGACGCCGCCCGAGCCGCCGCCGCGGCGGCCACTCCGCAAGGCCTCCCGGGACGGCTGCGGCGACGGCGGGAGCGACGACAGCGCTGCCGCAGCGTCCTCTCCGCAAGGCCTCCTGCGATGGCGGCGTTGACGGCGGCGACTCGCCTGCACGCAAGACCCTGGGTGATCTCTGGCGTGCGGCTTGCCACTCCATCCATTCGATGCGACACTGGCGGCCGCCCGTGCGATTTGAGTAGGCCCCCCCGCAAGCCGCGCACCAGATGTCACTCTGGCGAAGGCTCTCGTACGTGTTGCCGCGCGTTTGCGGTGGCGGCGGCGGCGGCAGCGGCGGCGACGACGACGGCGACGACGACGACGACGACGGCGACGCCGCCGCCGCCGCTGGCCCCTTCGCGGGGCCTCCACGGCCCGGGGCGGCGGCGGGAACCTCCAGAACCGACGTCGACCCTCGACCCTCGATCCTCAAACCTCCATCCCCAAACCTCGACCTTCCAATTTAGACCCTCGGGCGTCGCTCCACGGGGGGCGCGATGCATGGGGAGAAGAAGGTGCACTTCTCGGGCCCTTTACGGGCCCCACTTTGGGCCCCCTTTGCTGCAGCCCTCGCTGCACCCACGCTTTCGCGACGCCTGAAATCCGCGATCCTCGATCCTGCCGTTAAGTCGGGCCCGTCCCTCTACAGGAGGAATATTCAAAAAATATCAAGAACTAGTCTGGGTACTATCTGATGAGTATTATTATTTTGACCATTTGGGAAGATTCTTTGAGCATTTTGAACTTTTCGTCGAAAATCCTCCTGTAGGGGGACACGCCCGACTTACCTGCTGCCGACAAATGACCAGATTCCCAATATTTTCCTACATTTTCGGGGCTTTTGTCTTCCCCCCACTTCCCATATTCTCCCATATGTTCCTGGGGAATCGATGACTCATTGTGTCTGTGTGTTTCTTTCCCTCCTGACTGAAATCCTCGATCCTCGATCCTGCCGCCGCGGACCCCTCCCGAGAGGCCTCCGGGGCCGCCGGCGGCGGCCCGGGCGGCGGCGCCGACGCCCTCGGGGCGCGCGGCGAGGCACCGGGCCCTCGGCGGCGCGCAGGGCGCGCGCGCGAGCCAGCAAGAGCGGCGGCGGCGGCGTGGGCCGTCGCCAACGCGGCGGTCGGGGCGGCGGTGGCGTGGCCGTCGTCGGAAAGGCCGTCCTGGCCGTCGACGGCGTCGGCGTCGGCAGCGTCGTCGTCCGCGTGGTCGGCGTCAGCGTCGTGGCCGTCGGCGGCGTGGGCGTCGGCGTGGCCGCCGCGGCCATGGGCAACTGGGGCGTCGTGGGCGCCGTGTGCTGCGTCGGCGTCGTTGGGAGAGGGCGAGGGTTGAGGAAGGGTGCAGGGCGACGAGGAAGGGGGACAGGGCCGCGAAAGGAAGAGGTTTCGAAAGAGGGCGTGAGGGTGCAAGCGTGGATACAGATTTCGTGCAACCAATGTGGTGCAGCGCAGGGCAGCGCGAGGACATGCAAGGCAACGCAATGCGCAAAACATTGCAAGGCCATGCAGACGGCAAGGAGGCGGCAACTGACTCGGGCACGAGCCGTAACCAGCTCTTTACGGGTTGGTTTTAGGACGCCACTCTCCTCCTCAGCCTCCCTCCCTCCTCCTCGTCGTCCTCCTCCTCAATCCTCCCCCTCCTCCTCCTCCTCCTCCTCCTCCTCCTCCTCCTCCTCCTCCTCCTTCCCCTCCTCCTCCTCCTCCTCCTCATCCTCGTCCTCACTCTTCACTCCTCGCCCCTCCTTCCCCAATCCTCACTTGTCCTCCCTCCCTCCACTCCCCATCCTCCTCATCCCTCTCCCTCATCTTTCCTCTCCCTCTCCCCCTCCATTATCCGTGCGAGCGAAAAGGCGTTGAGAAAGATTTGTTTCACCGCGACGCTTCCTTGTCCACAACTGTTGTGCTGACCATGGCAGGGGAAGGAACCTGGCAATCAGATCCCTTTCATTATGCTGGGGCGCCTGTCTGCCTTCGATGAAAAAAAAGACCTAGCTTTACGCAATTCAGTGTTGACGAAGGGGCCTGGAGCAGCGGCCTCGAGGAGGACGGCCTTCACCCCGCTTCCCTCGGAGGCATACAAGGCACCGCCAGCACGAGCCCACCCTGGCCCACTCGTGGGCCTCCGCAGCCGATTTGGTAGTGGGTGTAGCATTCTAGCCACAGCGGAAGGAGCTTGGAGGCCAACTGCCGCACACGATTGCTAGTGCTGATGCTAAACATGATGTTATCTTGAAGTCTAGGCTCGGGCTCGGGGTGGATTGCGGCCCCAAGCTTCGCGAAGTAATCCCCTGCCTTCGGAAACGCCCTTGCTCGGTGATCCAAATTTCGTCGAGCTCTTGGAGCCACGACTTTGATGATAGAACTGTTTTACCCGAAGCACCCGAGAAACGCTCCACGACTGGGCCTGCGTAGGCCTTCTTGCCCGAAGCACGGTCCCAGGTGCCACGGGAACAAACAGAAGTAAGATTAGCATTGTCAGGGAACATAACAGCGTCGTCGTCTAAATTGATGCCTGCTGCCGCCAGGAATCACCCGCCCGAGGTGACTGAAGGAAGTGGTGCCAGACTGGTCCGTAGCATCAGCCTCGAAGAGAGCCGCAGCCTGAAGCTTCGGCGAGGCCCCAGCCAGCCCGAGACAGTTCCCTAGCAGCCGACTTGAAACAGCTGCCGTCCAGGAACAAGTGCCTGGAAAATGCGAGGTCCTCTGGGCCCGAGAAAGGCAAACCTGTGTTTCTGCACCCCCCCTTCAAAAGTACATATCCAGCGCAGCGTGATCCATACCATGCTGGTTAAGCGGTCCAGGAGCAGAGTCTCCAGGATGCGGGGAGGCCCCTACAAGGAACAGTAGAGATGATGCGAGCCCGACTGGTAGGTCTCGAAGGGTTTTCTGGATCTGAGTCGTCCACGAACTCGCGTCTAGTATCTTCACAATCGGAACTCTCCCAAATACGGTACAAGACAGAGTAGTTCTTCAGAGAGCACAGCGGTCGTCAAGCTGATATCCCTTAGCTGCTACGTCAGCCTGAGTCCAAGGAGCGTTGCGAACTAGAGAATGGTGCAACCCTTTCTCAAAAGGCGAACACCTGTTGGACTGCAAAACCGTCACAATCAGATCGACGCACAATCGGGAAACGGCGGGGGGGCGAGCCTCCCGGCAACACAGCTGTCCTCACGCACAGGGTTGATGCCGGCATCTATGCCCCCTTGCCTTACACTAGCTTGGGCAGGGCAACGCAATCCTCTCTAGACTGCGAGGAACGACGGCGTGCGCAACGTCATGATTAGAGACTAGCTTAGAAAGGTACATGATGTGCTATTACTCTGATTACCGATGGACACCGTAGGGCTTTTCATAATCCATCCAACCAATCCAAAAGAGCGGCATGTTACATGGCCGACATGGGGCCTGAAACCGTCTTCCAAGAACGTGTGCGCTTCCTGGTAAAATCCCAGAAGACCGGATCCCAAGAACTCCTGATTGTAGGCCAGTCTAAACAACCTCAAGACAAACGAGAACGGAGAAGCTACACCTCCCAGCAGTACTCCAGATTTCGTAATAAAAGGGAGGGGGTCTGGACCCTCCAAGACAAGCCATTTCAGACCTCCCCCGTGGGAGAACCCTCCAAAACATCGTCCCCAGACCCCCCAGGCCCTCCAAGATAGCCTGGAAGAGACCCCCCCCGAAATGAGACCCCCCTCCCTTTATTACGAAATCTGGAGTACCCAACAGCGGATGATGCCAAGGCATACCACACAGGGTCTCACTCGAGGCGAGTGGGAATCGTGAAGAGACCTGCGGTCTGAGCCAGCAGCCTTCCGGCAGGTGGAGCACCTCGGGCGTAGACGTGCTCGAAACGTCCGAAGCAAAGATATAGAGCGACGACGGGGAAGAGCAGGAGGAGGAGGAGAAGGACGAAGAGGAGGAGGAGGAGGAGGAGGAGGAGGAGGAGGTGGTGGAGGAGAAAGACGAAGGGGAGGTGGGAAGAGGGGGACGGGAGGAGTGGGGGAGGGGGGAAGGGGGAGGGAGGGGGATGAACGAACGAACGAACACCTCAGCGGGCCCCCGCCCGGGCCGAACTGGCACCACGCGTGTGAGGCCATGACCTCCCTGGGATCTGGTGCGCATAGAAAACAAAAACATGCATCAGCACCGCGAGACACATGAGCCTGTATTTCTGTATCATCTACGATAACGGGCGTGATCGGGGGGGGGGGGGCTCGGTCACATCACAGCGGGTTTCGGCCTTCCGGGGCCGTTTTCGACCCCCTGGGCCCTTGGGAGGAGGAAGATAAGGAAAAGAGAGAGGGAGCAGAGGAGAAAGAGAATTGAAGAATTCCTGGAAGCAGCTTGAGATTATGCTGCTGCTGCTGCTTCTGCTGCTGCTTCTGCTGCTGCTGCTGCTGCTGCTGCTGCTGCTGCTGCTGCTGCTGCTGCTTCTTGTCCTCCTCCTTCTCCTCCTCCTCCTCCTTCTCCTTCTCCTCCTCCTCCTCCTCCTCCTCCTCCTCCTCCTCCTCCTCCTCCTCCTCCTCCTCCTCCTCCTCCTCCCCTCCCCTCCCCCATCCCTCTGCCCCCATCGCTCCATGACTCAGCGCATCGTCCCTTGCCCCCATCCCTCTGCTCTCAACGGGCCACAGGCCCCCGTCCCATGGGTCGCGCTGAGCCGCGGGAGGGGTGAAGGGGCATCTCGACGGCGCGCTGGCTCAGTCCCCTCCATTCTCCCTCCCCTCCTCCCCTGCTGATGCCGGTGCGCTGCTCCCCCCCCTCCCTCTCCGCAGCCGCTCTCTCTACAGTCTCCCGCATCCCCTCCGGACGCCCAGAAGCCAGCGTGGTCCGCCTCGGATTAGATCGCCATGGCCGGGGAGCAGCTGAAGCAGGAAGATGTTCTCAAGTACTGGATGGACCACAAGCCGTCCCTGAAGGCAACCCTCCGGGCAGCGGCGACCAGTGAGTCCAAACACCCAGGCGCGTGCTGCTCGAAGACCTTGTACGGGCGGGCCGTAAAGCGCCAGTGGGAACTCATGAACCCCGAGCAGCAGGAGTCCTGGCGAGCCGCGGCGGCCGCTGGGGGCCCCCCCCCGTCGCAGCCCGCCCTCGCGTTCACGGTCAGCCAGGGCGGCTCGCCCCCGGAAGGCCAGGGAGGTGCGGAGTCCCGGAGCGCCGCTCCAGCGCCGGAGGCCCGGGACCAGGCGGGCGCTTGCCCTGGGGCCGGCCAGAGCCAGGACTCGAGCTCTTTCCCGTCGTGCTGCGCCTGGTGCGGCAGGGCCCCCCTGTCTCCCTTCCAGCTCAAAGAGGGGCAGGGCCCCTTCCAGCACAAGTTCTTCTGCGGCGGGTGTTGGGACGCCTGGGAAGCGGAGCCAGCAACGCCCCCAGGGAGCCCCTCTGACCTGGGCCAGGAGCAGGCGCCCCAGCAGCACGCGGAGGCCCCGGAGTCGGCTGTTCTGCCCGAGGGGGCTGCGGCCCCGGAGCAGGAGGCCAAAGGGCAGGCCACCACCGGCGGCGGAGGGCCTCAGTCCGCGCGCGGCGCTCTAGCGGCACAGACCGGTCCTGGGACGCAAGAGGCCGTGGGGCTCCCAACCTCCGGAGCAGGGTGGGCGCCCGAGCAAGGTCTCCTGCCTGTGCAGTGCGTGGAGTGCGGCGTTGTGGGCGGTCCGGTCAAGGCGGGCTACTGCGAGTACTGCTGGACCACCTGGGAAGCAACGAACACTTCTCTGGCCGCTGGCGCCGCGCAGCAGTTCACGGGAGCAGCAGGGCACTCCGAGCCAGGTCAGCAGCCCCCAGCCAAGCGGGCCAAGTTCACGGGGCTGGAGCCGGACCCCTGGACAGGCCGTGGTGTCGGCGGGGCTGAGCCCGGGCAGGGTTCGGGTGACACGGCGGCCCTTGCCTGCATGGGATGTGGGCAGCTTGTGTACGCTCTTGTGGCAACCAAAGGGCCTTCGGGGTTGCGGCTCCTGTGCGGGGCCTGCGGGCCAGCAGCCAGCCCTGCCGCCGGTAACGGGGCGCCCCCCTCGCACGCTCTGCCCCCAGCGGGTCGGGGGGGTGACGCCCAGGGCTGGGGCGCCCCGCCAGCAACCGCCGCTCCGAAGCCAAGGGCCTGCGACCCGCTCTTCCCGGAGTTCGGGCGCGTCCAGGGCCCGCCGGCTGCAGAGGCAGACAAGCACAACGTGGACAGGTGGGTACGGAGGCTCCCAGACGGGAGCCTCCCGACGGACCGGATCGTGCTGTACTGGGCCTACACTCACCCGGTGAGCGGCCCCCTCATGGCCACTGGCAAGTGGTGCCACGTCCCCAAGCGGGATCCCGTGCCGAAGGGCGTGCTCCTGCAGTTCGGGCACAAGAAGGGAGCAGCCCATGTCTGGCTCCGCAAAGGAGGCCACGTGCACGTGTCTGCCAGCAAGAAGAACGGCGTCCAGGAGGCGATCTTGGCCAAGCTCGAGGCCTGGACCGAGCCCTGGAACAATGGCACCCCGCCAGCCCCCCAGCGGATTGGCGGCCCGCAGGCGCTCCCGCCTCTGCCGCCCCTGCCGCCAGCAGCATGGTCGCCGCCCCCGGCGTCTGATTGACCAGGCAGCCTAGCCTCGCGGTAAGACTTCTCGGGGGAGCCTCTACCCCTTGCGCTCTGTTTTCTCCTCCGCCCACCTCCCTCTTCCACACTCTAGGTAGGGCCCCCGTGCGCCCGGGGAGCGGCAGGCAGATGCTGTGCAGCATCTGTAGAGGAGCCGAGTCAGAACCCTTTTGTTCAAGTCCGCACAGGTAGTTTTGATGTTTCCTGCGTCTCCTCCTCCTCCTCCTCCTCCGATTCCTCCTCCTCCCCCCATCCAGCCTTTTGCCCAGCAGGCAGTGCATTTCCTGTGAGGATTGTGTGACGGACAGCGCATCAGTTGCAAAACAGAGCATAGGTAGAAAAAAGGGGGTGGAGGGGGTGGGTGGTGGGGGGGTTCTGTCTCTCCGCGCCGTCGGCCTCAGGAGGCCGTTTTTCGGGCCCCGGGGGGTCGCCTCGCCCCCTCTCCCTCCCGTCCTCCCGCTCCGCAGGGCCGGGCCGGGCGGGTCGGGTCCGCCGGGGCCAGGCCGCCCTCCCCTCCTCCTCCTCCTCCTCGGTCCCTTCCCTGCCTTCGCTCTTCCCTCCCTGTCGTCGTGCCGCTGCCGCCGCTTCCGCAGCCGTCGGCCGCCGCGTCGTCGTCGTCGTCGTCGTCGTCGTCGTCGTCGTCGTCGTCGTCGTCGTCGTCGTCGTCGTCGGCGTCGGCGTCGTCGTCGTCGTCGTCGTCGTCGGGGTCGCCGCCGCTGCCGCTGGTGGCCTCCGCGTGGCCTCGTGCCGCCGCGTGGGGGAGAGCTGGCAAGCTGGCCCAGGAGCGTGCTCCTTGGGAGAGTGCGAAGCCCAGCCCTCGGAGGCATGCCGGCCGCGGCAGCCCCTCCGAGGCCAGTTGGGGTGCCCTCTGTCGTCGTCGTCGTCGTCGTCGTCGTCGTCGTCGTCGTCGTCGTCGTCGTCGTCGTCGTCGTCGTCGTCGTCGTCGTCGTCGTCGTCGTCGTCGTCGTCGTCGTCGTCGTCGTCGTCGCCTCGGCGTCGTCGTCGTCGTCGTCGTCGTCGTCGTCGTCGTCGTCGTCGTCGTCGTCGTCGTCGTCGGGGTCGCCGCTGCCGTCGCAGGGGGCTGCCGCGTTCCCTCGTGCCGCCGTGTGAGGGAGAGCTGGCAAGCAGGCCCTGGAGCGCGCATCGGGGCGCCGAGGCCGCTGCCATTGGCAGCCGGGAGTCCTCGAGTCGTCGTGGGGGCAGGCCGTTGGAGGTCCTGGAGGTCCTTTCGGGCCTTCGGAGGCCCTGGGTGTTCCGTCGGGGGTCCTGATCGCGTCCCCGTTCCTCGGCTCTTGGGGTATCCCTTGTCGCCCTGTCCGGTGGCAGCTCTGAAAACTTGTGCCTTCGGTCCTGGGGGTCTCTGCCCATCCCCTTTCCCGCCTCCCTCCTTGCCCTCGTGTGCTCCCGCCCTCCCTCCCCTCTGCCCGGGGCACTGAGGGGGTTGTTTCCTGGTCCGCTGCTCGTTTTTGGGGTCTCGTCGTGGTCACGGCAGGATTCGCCTGGAAATTCTGGTCTGGTGTTGGAAGCTTCGGCTTCGGCATCTTTCGCCCCCCAGTCTCCTGGCAGGCGGGTCGGGTCGGGCTGGATCCTCCCCTCCCTGGGGTGGCTTCCTCTCCCTCCTCCTGTCACCGTCCCGTACCTGCGGGGTACGTCGACCAGGCAGCGTGGGGGGATCGGACGAGCCCCAGGCAGGTGCTCCCTGCCTGGCCCCCCCCCCACATATGGCGGGGAGTCTCTGAGTTGCCTCTTCTGCTTCGCCCTGGCCGGGGTTTCGGGCGGAGGTCCTTGTTGGAACTGTGGGAATTTTCAAAGGCTTGCACGGTTTTCCAGGGTCGGTTCTGTGCGCCGCCCTCTTGACTCCGCGCAGGTCTTGGAAAGTGCACAGCTCTTACCAACCCTCCCCTCGACCCCTTCAGAGCTGGCGATCTGTCTTCCAGAGCCGTCGCAGCAAGGTCGCTTCCGAACCCTCCCCGGGTCGTGGCCCCTTGCTAAAAGGAAGTCTCGTCCGAAGCTTCCGCCGCCAGCTCAAAGGGAGCACACCATCCATCCATCCATCCTCCCCTCCCTCCTCCCCTCCCCCTCCTCCTCCCTTCCTCCTCCTCCTCTCCCCTCCTCCTCCTCCTCCTCCTCCCCCTCCCTCCTCCTCCTCCTCCTCCTCCTCCTCCTCCTCCCTCTCCTCCACCTCCTCCTCCTCCTCCTCCTCCTCCTCCTCCTCCTCCCCTCCTCTTCCTCCTCCTCCTCCTCCTCTTCCTCCTCCTCCTCCCCCTCCTCCTCCTCCCTTCTCCCTTATTCCCCGGTCGTCGTCTTCGCCGTCCTCCTCCTCATGTGGAGGAGTGGGGAGGATACTCACGATTCTGATTATGATCGGTCGGGGGTCGCGTTCGGGGGCCCAAAACGTAAAGTTGGGGGTCGCATCTTAAGACGTAGCTTGCAAACATATGCGTTTCACCTGAGATGTCCGCGGAAAATGGGGATGTTGGAATCGTTGGTCTAATTCGCGGCCCTCCGATAATGAGCGTTTCGCCTGAGACATCCTCGAACAAATGGGATGCGTGCATCTTGCCGGAGCGATCTCGGATGACCTCAAAGATGGCCCAAGCGTTTCGCTTAAGAATTCGCGTTTCGCTCGAGAAATACCCTGGACATGTCCTTCGAACGGGCCCTCGAAGCCATCTGGCTTCCTCCTGCTCCTCCTCCTCCTTCTTCTCCTCCTCCTACTCCTCCTCCTCCTCCTCCTCCTCCTCCTCCTCCTCCTCCTCCTCCTCCTCCTCCTCCTCCTCCTTTTCCTCCACCTCCCGGTCGCGGACAACAGCGACGACGACGAATCCCTGGGAAACCCTGGAAGAGTACTTGAGACACGTGGGGAAAACAGCGTGACGTGATCGGGGGGGGTGGAGCGGGGAACCCCACGAGCGTTATCGCCCAGACTAAAAAAACAGGCTTCATTGTAGTCGCAGCGGTGGCGGACGCGCACCCGCAGCCCACGCGAGGAAGCCACCAGGCGAATCGTACACACGCAGCATGCAGGCAGAACAACACCGCGAGACACAGAACAACTTATGACGGAGAGGAAGGAGCAGAGAGGAGCGGGTAGGTGGACAATCGGGTCCCGAAACGGTTCGGCGATAGATCGAGCGGGGACCTCGCCATCCCAAAGGAACGCACACCACGGCCCGTCACCGCACGGCTTTGGGACCCTGGAGGCCCCAGTCGCCCGAAACGTCCTCGGAGAGCAGCCCAGGTCCCAAACCCGTGCGGCCACCCCGGAGATGGATGGCGCGGGGGCCGACCAGGGAGGGGGGGAGGGAGGGCTCTGGCGGGGGGGGGGGGGGTGCAGGAGGGAGGGGAGGGGGGGGAGGGAGGGCTCTGGCGGGGAGGGCTCTGGCGGGGGGGGAGAGGGTCGGAGGAGGGGCGAGCGAGGAGCGGGACCCATCCCCGCCGCGCGCCTGCGCGAGGCGTCTGCGGTTGCCTGCGGGGCGCCTCTGACCGCCTGGCGGGGCGACCACGCGCAGGGGAGACGATGTAGGCGTCTCTCTGTCTCTGTCTCTGTCTCCGTTTCTGTCTCTGTCTCTCTCTCTCTCTCTCTCTCTTTATATCTCTCTCTCTCTCTTGTTATTTAACCGCTTGCCGCGGATACTAAACACACAGGGATAATAAAGTTCGGGGTTTTCGGGGAGATAATGAAAGTTGCCCGCCAGAGCCAACATAAAGAGATACCAAGAGGAAGAAACCAAAGATATCTTGAGGATCCTTGGTCTTTGGTCCTCTATGAGACATCCTCAACAATGATTTGTCTCGGTTGGGGCATCCTCAACGGGAAGGAGAAAGAGCAAGAGGAGGAGAGAAGAACGAGGAAACAAAAATCCAAAGTTCAAAACTTATTATATTTAATTTGGAAACGCTTAATGGAACTTAAGATTTTCATCTGCTCGTGTAGGGTAGCTCATGTGTTTAGTTTCCCCAAGATAACCAACCCCAGCGATAAACAAGTTCAGGGGGCCAGGGAGACAATAAGAAAAAGACATAGAAAGAGAAATATAAAGAACGAAGAAAAGGACGAGGAGAAGGATGAGAAGGAGGAAGAGCAGGAGAAGCAGAGCAGGAGGTAGAAGCAACAATCCAAAGTTGAAAACTTATTAGATTTAATTTGTAAGCGCTTAATGAAAATTAAAATGTTCATCTGCTCGTGTAGGGTAGCTCATGTGCTTAGTTGTCCCTGGATAATCAACCCCAGCGATAAACAAGTTCAGGGCGCCAGAGGGAGGAGGAGAAAGAAAGACAGAGAGAGAGAGAGAGACAGAGAGAGAGAGAGAAACAGAAAGCAACACAAAGAAAAAGAGAGAAAGAGAGAGAGAGGGAGAGAAAAAAGAGAGAGAGAGAGAAAGAAAAGGAGAGAAAGAGAGAAAAAACGTGTTCGCCTCGCTTGATGTTGTTATCCCAACATAAGAAGGAAGTAACCTCGATGGCGAACTTTCCCAGTGATAATGAAGTTCGGCCTCCGCGCCCTCCGCCTATATTTGAAACCCTTCTAGGCCGACGATAAAAAACTCTAACGACTTAAGGGGGTACTTTATTATCCTCGGCATGCGGTTATCTATCTATCTCTCTCTTTCTCCCTCTCTCTCTCTCTCTCTTTCTCTCTCTCTATCTCTCTTTCTCTCTCTGTATATATATACATGCATATATATATATATATAGATTCCCCTCTCTCTATGTGTATACATGTATACTTATATGTCCCCTCTCTCTCTCTCTCTTTTTCTCTTCATGCGTCTCACCCAGACAACCATCACCCACCCCCAACTTTCTTTTTGGACGGTGCCCCCCACCCCCCGGGGAAGCGGCTGGAAAAGCCCCTGAACAGCCGGAAACGCCCCCCACACCAGCCCAAGAGGACCCCAAGCTGACACAAGAGGCCCCCGAGGCGCCCTAAGATACTTTTAAAACGGCCCCGCAGCGTTCCAAGGGGGCCAAGCACGACGTTTGGACGGCAATTGAGGCCCTCAACGCGGTCCAAGAGCCCCCCAAGAGAGCACCCAAAAGGCAAGCATCGTGACACTCCGATTGGGAAACGCAAATGTTTATCACATCCCCTTCTTCTGTCCTCACAGCGTCCCAGACGACCCAAGAGGCCCCAAATATTGCACCAAGGCGACCCAGTAGGCCCCCAAGAGGGCCCCAAAGGAGCACAAGAGGGCTTCAAAACAGCCCACGAGAACCCCAAGACGGCCTAAGACAGACCGCTGAGGGTCCCAAAAGGGCCCCACGGGAGTCCCAAGCAAGCCATAGGATGCCCTCTAGACAGCCCAAGCACCCCAAAACAACCCAAAAAGGCCAAAGGCAACCAAAAAAACGCAAGGACTCCACAAAGACCCAAGAGGACCCCAAACACTCCAAAAACACCCAAACCCCAGGAGGCTTCCCAACCGGGCCAAGAAGCGTACGAGAGGTCTCGCGTCCGCGCCCTGCGCGGCCTTCCCAGAAAGGCTTCAAGAGGCCCCCGATTCACCATCCATGCAAGGCGTCCAGGCGCCCCGCAGAAACACGACGCAAGGCCCCGACGGGCACCCAAGACGCCCCGAACTCACGAGCGAGGTCACGGGCGTGCCGCCAGTGCGGCACGACGGCCCCAGCGGCAAGACCACGACCCCCACGCGGTCACGCCCGCGCCCCCGCTTCCTCGGGCGGCCGCCGCTTTTTCTCCCGAGACAGCTCATTTCTACTTGCTTTGCCAGCTGTCGGGCCAGTCAACACAATGAACCCCATTTTGTTTTCCGCATTGCCGACGGCCCGTTCCCGGTCACGATGCCAGCCCCGTACCACGGCCATGCCCTGAACTTGCGTGAAGGTCGTGACTGGAGTCCCTCTCGCATCATAACCTTGCCCCACCCCGCGGTCCCCTCATCGGCGTATTCCCTGTCATCGGCTTCGGGGCCACTGCCCACGCCCCGCATCAACGACCTGCAACCTACTCGCGGTCATGACGTCCACCCCCATCGACGTCGCAACCGTCGCCCCAGGTGGGGTAACGGCTTACCGGGGCATCCAGATCCTCACCTTCGCCCCCGTGGCATCTAGGCCCTTCCCCAGTGACATGCACTCGCCGATGGGTTCCATACAGCCAAAGGCCCGCGCCCCCCTCTAGACCATGACCCTTGCGCACCGACGAGAGGTTCGGAAGCCCCCCGGTAGCATCTGGACGCAGGACCAAGACTTGAGACTTGACGCTGAGCCCTCAAGACGTGTGTATAGACATAAATATAGATGTGTATCTGTACATATATATATATATATATATATATATATATATTTATATGTATACACGCAACTGCGCCGCTGAGCACGGAGTGGGCGTGCCCTCGAGTCTCAGCCCTCGATCCGAAAAGTTCCAAAAAAGCGCGGGACACAAAGGCCGCGCATGAATGCCCGCCCCAGGCCCCCCGCCCAGGCGTGCCCAGCGCCGGATTAGCGGAGCGCCGCTCCGCAAAGTTGCTGAAAACCCTGGAGCGCAAGCATCTTTGAACACCATCGTGCCAAACCATTTTGCTTTTTTGATATGTTTCGGGGCACTCGATTTGAAGTCCTTACGAAACCTATGGTTTTCGAATGCTTCAGCATGCACGCGACGACGCGCACGCGCGTAATTACTTCGTCACACTTTGTCGCAAGGGGTTCTTGCAAACAAATGATTTCTGGTAAACGACTGCGCGCACATTGCATCATTTGACGAGGATGGGGGGCGATGCCGGCTTGGCTGGGATGGTACGAAGTCATACTTGAAATGAGATGGGCCAGAGTCATAGGTAAACTGCACACCCCCAAGGCAACCCAATAACCCCGGGGGGGATCCTGATTCCATTGTGAATAGGGAGAACATGTGTGGTAATATACATATTCGACCACCCTTCGGGTGATAAGGAGGTTCGGGGGGGGAGGAACCAACGCCTCACTCGAGCGGTCTCACTTTCGATCTCACTATCCATCTCACTATCGGTCTCGCTCGATCGATCTCACTCGATCGATCCCACAATCGATCCCACTCGATCGATATCATTCGATCGATCTCACAATCGATCTGACTATCGATCTCACAATCGATCTCACTATCGATCTCACAATCAAGAAAACAATCGATATCACATTCGTTTTCACGTTCGATCTCACTATCAATATCACAATCGATCTCACAATCAACGTCATCATCATCATCATCATCATCCTCAACATCGTCGTCATCAACGTCATCAACATCATCATCACCATCATCGGGACACCATCATCATCATCATCACCTCATCACCACCATCATCTACATCATCATCAACATCACCAGCATCACCAGCAGCATCATCGGGACACCATCATCGTTACCTTCATCATCATCAACATTACCATATTCGGGGCACCATCACCATCATCATCATCGGAACGCCACCACCACCATCATCATCATCTCATCATCATCATCATGAACAACATCATCAACATCATCATCATCATCGGGGCACCATCATCATCAGCAACATCATCATCATCATCATCATCATCAACATCAGCATCATCTGGACACCATCATCATCGTAACCATCATCATCATCACCATCATCATCATAATCGTCATCATCATCATCATCGGGGCACCATCATCACCATCAACATTAGCAGTATCATCTCATCCTCATCATCGGGACACCTTCATCAAAATCAGCATCATCGCCTCATCATCATCCTCATCATCAACATCATCGTCATCGGGACACCATCATCGACGTCATCCTCATCATCAACATTATCGTCATCGGGACACCATCATCATCATCATCATCATCATTATCATCATCATCAACAGCATCATCATCAACCTCATCATCATCGGGACACCATCATCATCATAATCATCATCATCATCATCATCATCATCATCATCATCATCTTCATCATCATCGTCATCATCATCATCTCATCAACATCTCATCATCATCAACATCATCAGGATCATTATATAACATCATCATCATCGTCATCGAGACACCATCATCATCATCAGCAACATCATCATCATCATCGGAACACCATCATCAGTTCCACCATCACCATCATCAACATCATCATCATCACCATCGTCAACATCATCATCACCACCATCACCATCGGGACACCATCATCATCACCACCATCACCATCATCATCATCATCAACAACATCATCAACATAATCGACATCATCATCATCATCATCATCATCATCATCATCATCATCATCATCATCATCATCATCATCATCATTATCGGGACACCGACGGCACACAGGCGGGACACCGGCGGGACACCGCGGGCCACCGCACGCCGGAAGGGAGTCATGTGGTCCGGCCGCGCCTCAGCCGGAGGCGGGACACCGCCGGCCACCCGCTGCCGAAGGGAGTCATTTGGTCCGGCCGCGCCTCAGCCACAGGAGACTTTCCTGTCGCCCGCCCACGCAGCTTCGCCTCGC